TTAGATACAAAGGTCTAGATAATTATTCAAATTTGTTAACAGTAAGATTTGAACTCTTGACTTCTTATATAGTAGTCTGGTAACCTAACTACTACACTAAGATCACTAAACTTATAATTATTATTTTATTTATTTAGAGTCATAACTATTATTTATAAAGGTATTTAATTTGTTGAGATTAGGATTTTTATTTATAATAATTTTTTATTTTATTAGAGCCAGAACTATTAGCTATAAAGTTTTTTTAAAGAATCTTATTATAAAGTATTATTTTGCTTATAATAAAATTTATTTATCTAAAATAGTCATTATTAAAATATAAATATATAAACAAAGTATTTTATTAGCTTATTTTTATATAAATAAATTATAAATTTTAAAATTATTTATTTTTTATTTTTACTATTAAAATATTATTCAAAAAGTGAAATACTCATTTAAAAAAAGCTCAACAGACAAAAAAGTTAAAATATTTTAACAAATCTGAGTTCTCTGTAGTAACAAATAATAATATTGAAGTAGAACCAGAATTAATATTAAACCAAAATTTTAATATATTAAATACTACAATATATATTTTTTATGATTTATCTAAATCTGAATCTAATGAGTCTAAATCTGATAAGTCAAAATCTGATGAGTCTGAATCTAATAAGTCTGAATTAGGATCTGAGAATTTATTTTAAGAATTACAATATTTAACTAAATTAGAATTTAAATTACAACAAGAATTATATTCAAAAGTAAATAGTATTTCTCAGTATCAGCTTTCAAAAACAATTTATATATTAAATAATATGATTTATACAAAAGGAAAATATCAAAGAGAACTTATTTTAGAGTATTGTCAAAAAAAGATTTTAAAATTATAAGACAATTTTTATATAAACATGAATCAGATGCAATATCTTTAACTCAAAAAATAAAAAATTAGAAAAAGAAAATCAAAAATTTTAAAGAGAATTAGAGAATTAAAAAAGCAAATAAGATTACTTAAAATAGCTATAATAAGCAAAAATAAAACAAAAACTTAACATATTTCAAAAATTAGATCTGCAATTCAAAAAGCTAAAAAATAACACTAGAAAATTTTAAAAAATTAGCTAAAAAGCTTTTTAAATTTAAAAATGAGTATTCAGTACAGTTTTTACAAATAGCTACAGAAATTAGTAATTTAAGACAAATTTCTTTAAAATCAATAGTAGTATACACTAAAAAATTTTATAAATTTATTACTGAAGAAGAACTAGAAAAATGAATTAATATATATACACTATCAAGATAAAATAAAGAAGTTGTAGCTCTTCAACTTAATTTAAATAAATTTAAATCATATAATATTTCTAATTATAGTTATGGTCTATTAGTATATGAAAGCAAAAGAGGAGAAAGAAAAATTTTAATAGTTGCTACATCTTTTTGGAATATTGAAACAAACTATTCTATGTTTAGTATATTAGAAGTTGATGATTTAATGCATTGCAATTCCAATACTGTTATAACTAGTGTTACAAAAATTTGCAATAATAATAACATTAATTTTAAAAGATATATATTTTAGTTAACAGACAATACATCATATCTTTTAGATTATCTAGCAGGCAAATTTGCTTACTTTTATATTTAATTTTAAATAAAACTTTAAATATTAATTTTAAAAATATATTTTCTAAGTAAAATATATTTTTTAACTTTTATTTTACTAACTTTGTTAAAAAAGTTTTTTAAAATTACTATAAAAGTTTTGAGTAATAAATCTTTAAAGTTTTGCTTTTAAAATTTTTACTATTAAA